ACCCATTGTCATTCAACCAACACCACACTATAACGAACCATAGACAAAGATTGATTCAGACATGGATGTAGAAGAAGAAAACGTCAATCTTTGTCGGGTATTTTACCCAAATGACACACCACTAAAGATAAACCAAGGAATAGGTGTGCCTGTGATGATGGCCTGTATGAGAAGAAATGAGACTGGTAGTCAGAGAAACCGAGGTTCGCACATGTTCGGTTTCAAATCTTCGCTCTTGAAGTTTTTCTCTGAGTAAAAAAAGGCTTACATATTTTTGTTACCCTATCACTCTTGCTTTCATATCTATAGCAGAATCAAAAAATTACAATTTTTAGGAGACACAAACACGCCTTGCACACTTGTTAAAACACCTGTTCTCCCCTGATTAACTAGTAAATAATTCCAGATCATGTAGAATACAAGCATAAACATGTCAACCACATGACCAAAATCTATATAAACATGGCGTTCTTGAGTACCTGTTCTTATTGTTAGTCGCTACAATTATCTGAAAATTGGTTTTTCCTCAGTTTCTCTGACTTCCGAATCTTCCGGTCTTTTCATTTTCAGAAATTTTGACCAGACTAGTCAAAGTCAATGTGCAGATTGAAGGCATTTGGCCAGCAGCAGCCTAATAAGCAGATGCTGTTTAGCATGCAGAAATCTTACCAGAGTATCCATTTTCCCAATTGTCGCGAGAACCATGTGAAGCATGTTGACGCGACGATGAATGCTGTCTGGAACGACGGTCGCGACGTTCTTTTCGTTGCACACGTCGTTCGACTTCTTCAGTTCTGCGAGTCTCTTCGAAACGTTGCACTGTCTCGGTTACTGAGGGCTGAAGAAGGAGATCTTGATCTTCAATTTGCCAAAAAAGAGAAACCGTGTAGAGGAGGTGGGTGTACCTTGCTGACGTTACTCTGAGTTCTGTGATATTGTCGTTCCATGAGCTGATTATCAGCCGATGGATGTAGCATCTGATCTCTAGTCTCGAGCTCTCGTCGCTTCATTATGCTCCTCGGCTTATCATCCTGCAAAAGTGAGTTTTCATGCGCTTTTATGGTGGGAGATTTTCGATAATTGTGAAGTGACTGAATAATTGGATCGTGAAACTATTAGGTTGTCCATGAGTTCGTAACGTTTGCATTTTGTCCTCATTTCTTTGGGGAGCGGTTGATTTATGGCAGTATGGGTATATTATTGGAAAAGGTAAATTATGCTCTATAAGGTGTACCAACTAATCCAGGTGGTAAGCCGATCTAATGGATTTATTGGCTTCTAATTGTGGAAATGTTAAAAGCCAAAAAGAGCAATTTTGACATTTGCGCATTTTTTCTTACATAGAAATGTTTTTGCATAGATTTTTTGCCGATTATGGAATACTGCGTCCGCACATTGTTATGAGAGGAACAGGACTGAATTGCTGCAAAGGACCAGGGACTGAGCAGGGTGTTTCTGAACGAGACATTTCGGGGGAGGGGCAGGACGTTCTGCACTGAAAATTGCTCGACAAAAAGACGACGGTCGGCAATTCTGTAAGCAACCCAACTGCACCCGTTCAAA